TTCAATGTGTGTAGATGTGTGTGTTTGTGTGTTTATAGAGGTGTGTCTGTGTGTAGAGGTGTGTGTGTGTGTAGAGGTGTGTGTGTGTGTGTCGAGGTGTGTGTGGTTAAAACGAAACAGCCTGCGGTTACTCTTTATAGCTGTTGGAATGAAGGTAAACACAGTGTAGGCGGTGTGTACGAGAAAGAGATACTAACCCGTTATCCTTTTTTCTCTCTTTCTGTGCATGCATCTCCTACTTTGAAAACCTTTCTCCATATCTTTGGCCACTAAAACGCATAAATACCATCTTGTATTGCCTCTTCAAACCCCTCATTTTAGTTCCCTTTTAATCTTTACTCCTTGTTCCCACAGCAGCACGTGTCAGGAAGTCGAAGTGAGCGGAGAAGACCTCTCAATATCACAACAAGACATCGAAACAGAGGAAGCAGGTGCTGAGGATTGTGGGATATCAGAGCCAGATGAGGGGAAAATGGACGGTGTGGAAAGAGAAGAAGCGAGCGATGACGATTGGAAGCCAGACTTGAGTAGTGACTCTGGATTGTGTTTATCAAAGACTAAAAAGAAAGGAAAAACCAAACTCTCGGGTTTAAAAACCGAGAAAAGTGTGGATGATTTCACCTGCAAAGTGTGTGGAGCGCTGCACGAATTGGAAATCGCGTTAATCAAACACGCCTTGAGTCACGTGGACAAAACGGGAAGTTTTTGCGGTGTTTGCGGAGAGCATTCAGAGTCGATGACGGATCATTTTGAAAGCCGACACAAAACCCACGACTGTCACATCTGCGAAGAGTCTTTTCTCAGTTCTCTTGATCTCGACGAGCACGTGGCCGCCCACTCGGGGCAGAAACCGTACGAATGCGATGTTTGCAAAGACGCTTTTGCATTGGAAGTCTCCTTAGAGAATCACAAGCAGATGCACGAGAATAAAAAGTTGCACCTCTGCGGAGTTTGCGGTAAATCCCTCTGCGACTTCCGATCGCTTTCCCGCCACAAGATGACGCACTCCGGTGAGAGACCTCAAGGTTGTCAGGTGTGCGGGAGGCGTTTCAAACTCCCCGGGACGCTGAGGCAACACGAGAAGATCCACACGGAGAGAAAAAGATCGTACCTCTGCGACGTTTGCTGCAAGATGTTCCTCACGAGCAAGGAGCTGCAGATCCACTTGCGAACGCACACCAACGAGAAGCCGTATCACTGCGGGGAATGCGGGAAAGGATTCTCCACGAAAGGCTCGTTGACGATACACATGCGTGTCCACACTGGAGAGACACCGTACAGCTGCCCCGACTGCGGATGGTCCTTCAAACGAAAGATTAATCTGGATAACCACGCCACGGTGCATTCGGGCGCCAAACCGTTTGTTTGCACGATTTGCGGGAAAGCGTGCGCTCGCAAAACGTACTTAACGGTCCACATGAGGACGCACAACGGAGAGAGACCGTACAAGTGCACCTTCTGTGACAAAGCCTTCACTCAGAGCCACTGCCTGAAGACTCACATGAAGAGCCACAAGGGGGCGGAAGCTGCAACGTGACGCTGAAAATGGATGACATTTTAATGAATAGTTGTGTTTCCCGCTATTTATTTATCTGTTTTTCAAGTTATGTGAAGATTCCTGTACACTGGGCAAAGTTCATTGCATGTGGGAGAAATAAAATATGAATGTGCAATATCAGTTTTGATGCTGTCAGAGGAAATTAGTACCTGGTGAATTGCAGTTTATTTAATGATCTTAATTAGTAATCAGAAAGAAGTATTCAGATCCTTTACTCAGTAAAAGTATGAATACAGAAATGCTTAACTACTCTTAAACAAGTAAAGATTCTGCATGACCGTATAACAAAAACAGTCTAGTTTAAGTATTAAGGTAAAACATACTGTTTATATTATTATGACAACATTAGTTTAAGGTTTTCAGACTTTTTCATGAAGTCATTTTAGAGGGTAACATTCTGAGGCCATGGTTCTCAGCAGGAAACTGATGGACCGTCTACTCCGAGTAGGGAGTGAGTCCTTACCCCAAATTAAAGAGTTCAAGTATCTCTGGGCTCTTGTTCTTACCCTCAACTATGATCATGAAGAGGGGTCATGACCGAAAGAACAGGATCGAGAATACAAGCAGCCAAAGTGGGATTTCCTCCAGAGGATTACTGGCATCTCCCTTGGGGATAAGTTGAGGTCAGTCATGGGGCACTCAGAGTAGAACTGCTGCTCCTCTGCGTATACTTCTGAAATGTAAATCAACTCTGTTGTTTTTTTAAGTCTCAGAAGCCAAACATTTTGGAAATGACTGCTTGTTTTGTATTTTATCTTAACTTCTTGATAGTAGGAAAGTTCAAATTGGAACAAGTTTTAACACATTTTAAGAACTATACAAGTTCAACAAAGGTGAGATGTATGCTTTATTGTAGGTTGTATAAGAAAACATTTCAAGAAGGAAGTCTAACTGGTTGGTTAATTATGTAATTTGAAGAGCTAGTTATTTGACACTTTCACCATCACATCAGACAAACAAACATTTGCATTAGACACACAGTAAATCTGATTCTCTGTCCTAATTTGACTGGATAGCCACTCATGTGACCGCAGTGCTTTGGTAAACATCATTACTTCTCTTTTGCATTTGTTCTCAGCAGACATGAAACTGTGTCATTATATTAACGAAAATATACTTATGAGGAACAAAATGTCAAACGCTAGTCAACTATTACACGTTATTCACAATTGTTCAAACCTTAAATAAGAACACGCGTATTGTCTAATGTCTACTACACACTTGTATTGTCACTGAATTTACTGCTCAGATAGTTTATATCCAATAACCACAAAAAAAGAAATACAAATCAAACATTTAAACCTTTTAGCACACATGCACATGAAATAAAAGATACTTACGAAGAAATACAAGGTAAAATAGGCAAAAGAAAAAAAAATAATCCACAAGTTCACAACACGTAACCCACCCATTAAATAGATAAAATAATATAAAAAATATATAATAATAAATATGTATGAAATTAACGCATTAATGAGTGTTTCAGCTTTTCAAGCCCGTTTTGGAGTGCCACAGGGCTCTAGTCTTGGTTTTCTGCTATTTTTGGGTCCACATAATATTTATTACCTAACATTTCTTGCTAATGTTCCTGAATCAAGCTGTGTTACATTTAGTATGAAGGGCGCTACTCAATTTATTATTTAATTGAGATAATTGTTTCAATTGAGTGGTGCAACGTCTGGTCCCATTCCATTCTACCATTCTAATCTTCACTGACAATTGTATTATACTGCTAATCAGATTACCCCCAAACCTCAAAAGTATGACCCCATAGCCATGATGGTGTCGAAAGCCCTCTGTTTTGATTGGTCAACCCGCTTCCTGTTCCCTCCCACTTCCCCCGGCCCTGGACGCTTGAGAACGTAGAGAACTGAAATGCTGTAGAAAGAGAGAGCACTTAAGAAGAAAAGCAAAATAACAATATATATGATGTGACTGTGGATCAAATGCTGATGTTCCTGAACCTGACTCCGCCCCCCTGCCTCAGCCCCAGGTAGGTGATTGGGTGAACAACAGCCAGGTAGTGCTCCACACAGGTGAGCAGGTGAAACAGAGCCTTTCTGACAGAGGGGACAATCAAAAGTGCGATCCCTAAATCAAACATCTTCCGGAGACCGATGAATCCGCCAGTGAAGAACAAAGCAATCCCCAATAATTCATTCAGCTGCATGAAGATAGAGTGATAGGTGAAGTGGTCAGAGTGACTTGTAGCCGAGGAACTGGAGCGCGGTTTCTTTGACTTTTGGAAGCCAACGTACAGGACGGAGATGATGAAAGGGAGAAGGACGAGGATGTATCTGATGTTGATAACAGAGAAGACGTACATTTGTGCTTTAAAGCTTAAACATTCCTCCATAAAGCGAGGAGAGGAGTTGTTGGAGGAGGAGAGAAGAGGAGGAAGAAGGGGGAGATCAGGATAGAAAGAGGAGTTGACTGACATGTTTGTCCGGTCGACCGCGGGGGCAATGCTGGTAGATCGCGAGTCATTCATAAAAAAAATAATCCAGCTCCGTTAAAATAAACATGATCCCTCCTCCCTTGGCCTCCCTGCCACTTAATTCAGGAGTTAATAACACGATAAACACGAAAATCCAGACGAGATCTCTCTCTCCCCCGCCTGTGTGCGAGGGGGGCGGGGCAGTTTACACACACGGCTGCTACATGCAGCAACACACGGCGGGGATAGCGGAGAGAATCGCTCCAAAGGTGTGGTTAAATGTTACCCGTCTTGAGGTTAGGGTGACCACCTGCTAAGAAGCCCAAGGGGGGACAAGGGGTATGTTTCTGAGGGACAATGTGGGACACTGCCCGGCGCGGAAGTGGTTTACCTATTTCTAGCACATACCATCTTACATAGTACATTAATAGTGCCCTATTCCACTAGACATGTGTAATATCTGATGTATGTCCATCAATAGGCCACCAATGTGTATTTCTTTCTAAATAAAGATTCATAACATTTTGAACAATGA